CCGAACGTGGTGCATCTTCGACATCAAAATTGCCGGATCGAAATTTAGCGAACCAGTTCTGGCACTGGCGTACTGTCAACACATCTTCTTCATACACATCAGTTAATTTCTTTCTGGGTTGAACAGCATTTTTTCCCTTTCTGTAGTAAAACAGTAAGATATGTCGAAAATGCTGCTTATCGCTCTCCATATTTAAAAGGGCCCCAACCAAAAACTACTGCATAGAATTAATTGGAATTTTTCACACACAAGCCTTGCTATATGAGCTCTCAAAGCATATAAGAATTATACGGCTTAAATGTGAAGTTGGGTGCAAAAGAATACAATTAAGTCCTCTGTCGGGAAAAAACGAAATGACTTTCCGAACAACCCGATAGTTTTAGGAAAATGCGAAGATTAGCTCATGATAATAAATAGTGGAGGTCCAACTAGTCTTAGAACTGAGGATTTGATGATGATGATGGTGGTGATTACTGTACATAATTTAATGTCCATGTGAACGCTCTTTTCCATTAATATTGAAGCATAATAAAACTAAGCTTTCTTTCAATTAATTACACGTATGGCACATTTCCTTTCACGATAACCTTTACAAATTGCATACCTACAGAAATATGTATATCATAAATATGCAACAGGCAGAATGACCAACTCGAAGCAGTAAACCGATTTTACGATATTAATTTATAAATGTAATTGAAATACCGATCCGCGATACAAACACGTAATGTAATAAGTGTATTTGATGATTTCGATCGCCGGCCGATGCGACGAATTCCACATGCATATTTAATTGGTCACACGAAGTCAAGTTGCTTTATTTTGTTGTTGTTTCTGTTTTATTTAAATTTCTTTCGTTACTTTCTTATTATTTTATTCAATTGCTTCTGTCAGTGAGCGCTTAATTAAAGTAATTAATGTGTGACAGTTCAAAAAGATTTACATTTACAGTCAAGTTATTACAGTATAAATTATTCTATAGTACTTAGGATGACTATAATATGTACTTCTTTAGTAGTTATGAGCAAAATTCAAGACGTAGACCAAGACTGTCTTTGTATTAGTAAGACCAAGACTAAAACCAAGAGCGAATACGAAAGGCCAAGACCAAATACACAAGACTAAACAAAAAATTATCACTTCTGCATTTCTTTATGAGTTAAACTATTGGAAGCAATTTTAATATATCGTTTCCTTGGAACAAAACATTTTTAGTATTTAAATAAGATTTCAATTCCAAGAAGACTAAGACCAAAACCAAGACTAGAAGTATTTGAGCAAGCCCAAAACCAAATAAGCAAGATCAAGACCAATACAAAGACACTTTCTTCTAAAATACACAAAATTATGGCTTCTACTTTTTTTGTTCGAATTAATAAACGAAATATTTTAACTGTTTTTAATTCTGTGTATTTTTCAATTCAATAGTAGTATAAAGCAGAGGATAGCGCAGGGTTGTGTGGCCTTTAATAAAAAGAAGTCACTTCTATGCTCGCGAACGGTTAATTTAGAAATTCGAAAAATGTTGTTAAAGGTGTATGTTTGGAGCACGGCGTTGTACGGGTGCGAAACATGGACAGTGGGCGCGGCGGAAAAGAAACGGTTAGAAGCGTTCGAAATGTGGTGTTATAGGCGGACAATGAGGATAACGTGGGTAGAAAATGTTAGAAATGAAGAGGTATTGGAAGGAATAGGAGAACAGAGGACTCTATGGAAGTCAATAAAAAATAGGCGAGATAGGTTGGTAGGACACCTTCTTAGGCATGAAGGTCTAGTCAGAGACATATTAGAGGCAGAAACAGGAGTTAAAAGGAGTAGAGGTAGACCTAGATTAGATTACTGTTCGGAAATAGTTAAGGATGTGGGCTGTTCTAGTTTTAGGGAAATGCGAAGATTAGTTCAGGATGGGATAGAGTGGAGGTACGTGTTCAACCAGTCTTAGGACTGACGACCTTATGATGATGATGATTTTTCAATTTTAAACCCCCTCCATCCCCGTGATGTTGCTACTAAGTTTAGTTCAAAATGATCCATAATCCAGACGGTCTATCTAGCATATCGAAGTAAAATTAACCTTTGACTTTGTAAATCTGTATTTTATAAAAGTAAGTACTTTGTTTTCTTGCTGTTGCATCTGTGTAAAATAAAAAAGTACTGTTCTATTTCATTTACCTAAAAATTGTGTATGGACAAAACCTATACTAGAAAGTTGCTTAAAAGATGTAATAAAGAAATAAATAGTAATGGGCTTTAATGGCCCCTTTTTTTCTCACAAAAATACAAATTGTATAATGTACATTATGCAGTACAAGTGTGTACTATAAGACGGCCTACTTTCTAGATGTAGTGTCATTTAGCGTTGACCTTTTTTCCCTTTGTTAAAAATATTTTAAATGTTTACTGTAAGATAATATGTGCCTAATACAACATTCCGACTGAAGTTAAATACACTTTGTCGCTTCTTCAAAACCCCATTTTCATTGTTATCAACTACGTGATGACTTAATAGACACAGGTGCTGTAAACGCATTCAAATTTCTAGCATTCTTCTCTTTTTTTTTTTTATTTTATTTTACCGGGTTGTTACAAGCGGTCTGTTAACAAAACAGATTCAAGAGAAATTCTTTGAGTTGTTTGAAAGGAAATCGTGACGTCAAGAAATAGGATGAGAACCAGGTGTTGTCGGTGTGTTCACCGTGAGAAAACGTGTTGCATCTTGCGTGCTAATGTTACATTACAACTTCGCACGCATTTAATTACAAATAAATGCCCTAAATTTGTTTTTTATTAGGTAGTTACACCCAGTATCTGAACAACGATCGCAAATACCGATAATTATGTACTAGTAACTAGTGAATTAGTCTTATAGCCACCATTGCATGTGAAACAAGGTAACCCAAGATATTATGGTAATGTTATTGGAACTTATGTGGTATCTAGCGACTCATAAAACAGAAACAACAGTGATATTATTGAGGGATGATGTGTGAACCAATTATTCCACATACGACTCACAATTCTAGGATGTAAATTATTTGGTATCATCATCCCGACTAGAATTTATATGGGACATGCCCCATGTAGCGTGCGGACCTCATGTGGCTAATGAGGAGCATGTCGATATAGGTATTTCCCCGTAGATTCCTTATGAAAATCCCACAAAAAAAGTGGTGATATTAAAATGAGGATTGCCTTATGGGGTTTTCATATGAGTCTTAAAGGGCAAACATAACACATGTATAAACTTACAATTGAACGAACTAACAAGTGTATTTCCTGATATTGCTATTATGAGACAACAACAACAGTAAAACGATTGCAATTTAAAGTATTATTGACTACAAAAGAGCTCAATAACACAATCTTACTTAAGAGCAAACAAATTCTACAAATAAGTGATATATGTATATATTCCTTAAGGTGGAGATATAAATTGTATTGAAATTTTTGGAAAACTACTAGGAAAAAGAAAATCCCTTTGTACGTATCCATGCGATG